TTTTTTTTTTTTTTTTTTTTTTTTTTTTTCTGCACAATCCACAGTTGGCATTTTGAGTCCTGGGTTCCCAGGTTTGGTCCTCCTTGGCTTGGCAGCCTCCCTGCAAATAGGAGCTGAAGGATCTTTCAGGCACATGGGGTTTTCCTGGCCTCCTACTGCTGCTTTTTCTCTGGAGAGTAGCCGCCGACTCATTGAGGACACTGCAGATCCAAACCCTCTGTATCTCTTGGCTCCTTATATGGTAACATGAAGAAGTCTTAGCCTCTGAGTTCTGACTGGGAGTTACCCTGGTTGTTCTCTCAGCTGGGGAACTAGAAGCTTTAAAACCATAGGCAAACTAGTTCTTACCACCAAGAAACCATACCTTGGTTCATGCGCGTGTATGCTGCTGTCTCACCATTATCCTACTGAAGACTAGGCTGCATCGCTAACAATAAAATGCCCCTACAAAACCTTTGCATCAGCTAAGAGTTTAAGCATTCCCATTTTTTCTCTTCCGGAAGGAGCTTTAAGGTACTTGTTGTAACAAGCAGAAGAAAAGAGGCTGAGACTGAGGGAGGGGCAAAGCTGGCTCTTCTGGAAGACAGCACATGAACACAGAGGTGATGGTGGGTAGTGAGAGCAGAAGGTAATGGAGATGGGGACACCTAGAAGGCACTTAAGGTGCTCTGCACTTGAGCCATCACATTCAGACAGTGGAGAGAATGTTCCTGAACAGGGGGAGAGGTGTTCTTGTTCATCCCAGAGCCAAATACATTTTGGTGACTTATCCCCCACCTCTGAGAGAAGCCACCCTACAAAAGAGGCACAACAGTGAGCAGAGCTAAGTTTTCCTGATTGCCAAACCCTTGTATTTGTCTCTGGGAAGTCCTTGAATGTCTTTGCATGGATTTTTAAGCCTGGAATTACGCAGTTTTGCACTGGGTTAGTGAAGAGTGCTTTCACAAGGTGATACGTTCTCGTGCTGGAGTCCAGCCCACCCTGCTGCAGGCTGTGTCCTTTACTGGCTCCAAGCCCATTGCTGGATATAGTGCTGAGGGTGCATATGAACATGAAACCATAAGGAAAGTAACGGCACTTAGTGACTTGAGACACATTTAAGGGCAGAAACAAAGGGTTTTGATGGCTAAAGGAGCTCCAGCAAATTTCAGGGGCTGTAGGAGCTTGATGTCTCTTCAGGGCCAGCTGCTAGCACTTAAAAAGGCATATGAGGGTTTTTTTTTTCTCCTTTCTCTTTTCCCTAGATTTCATGCTGATGAGACACAAATCCTGACAAGCACTGAGAGCTGCACTCCCTTGTCAGCCCCAATTTTTAAAAGTAACTATTGGTTTCTTTTCTCATGGTGCAGGTTCCACCATATTAGCTGAGCGGCTGGGACTGTCCACACCAAGCTCGCCCACATCAACACCCAATTCCCCCACTGTTCTCTGCAGCGGCGTCTCTGACCCCATATTGTCTACATGTGGCTCTGGCCCACTCTGCAGCTCTATCGGTGGTAAGTGTGGTGGGATTCCCCCCTGCTTTGCCTCCCCCTGCCTGCTCCTGCACTGTTTCCCTTAACAGTCTCACACTTGTCTCCCAGAAGGTCTTTAAAATCACAGTGCTCAACAGAGTCTTCTGTCAGCTCCCTTGGGGATGAAGGGAGAGCCTCTGCAAATGCTATTTTCAGTCTGGTTTACGTAGAAGCCGCTTAGATGCCTAGACAGCAATATTTCTCCAACCCTTTTCATCATGAAAGGTCCCAAGGGAGGCAGCAGGGTTTCTGTTGTGTAGCATGGCCCTGTGAGCACAGCTCCTTCTGGAGAGCTGTGTGGCAGTGACATGTTGCATGCTAGCCTAGACTGGAGCTACAAGTATGCCTACAGACCCCCTTTCCCTCTCTACACACCTTCAGTACCCTCTTCAGTAAAAGGCAGTATTGATATTTCTAATACACCAATGAATTCCAGTGAGAATTAGATCAATGTACATGCAGTAGAAAAATTATAGGCTATTCAGCAGCATTTTTAAAACCCTAGGCACCTGTATGATCCCAAGGTGATGGTAGGATATATTACTTACCAAAGCCTTGTCATTGTTGTCCAAACCAAGAGTGTTTTTCACTGAAGGGACTTACCAGTCTCATGTCTAATAACTGGTGACAGCAAACATTCAGATTTGTAATGGGTTTTAGGGGGAAAAAAAAGTAGAATTTTTCTCATTGTCTTGCTACCTCATCTGGCTTCACTGGTGAGGCCTCATAATGGGTGTGCCATAAGCATAATTACTGTAGCCCCTCATAGCTCTCGAAGCAATGACCCACTACATGCTGTCCATGCAGGTACCACCCCACCTGTGTCCTGAAGGAACCACACAGTGATTTGTAACCAGGCATTGCCATCCCACATCCCTGGATTTACCCTAGAGAGAAGTACTGCTTGTCTTGGGAGCTGCTGCCACCATGTGCCACCCAGCTCTTCCCTTTTCAAAGCAGATGCCTTGATCCATCCCTCCTGATTTTTCCTTCTTTATTAATATTTAGTAGTTTGAAAATGTGAAACTGCTCTTTCTCCCCGCTATGTGGGAACAGCTATCTCTTGGTCTGCTCTGCATTGGCAGCAGATCCCAGAAGATGCTGCCTTTCTGCTGCCCTGAGCCTTGGCATGTGAAGCAGGACTCAGTGAGTGGGACAGTAGGTCATAGGAAGGACCCCTGACCCTGGAGCGTCCATTTCTGCTAGAGCGTGGTTCTTCCATCCGTAGCTAGCTTCAGGGCAGAAATTACCCTGGGATGTCAGGAAGCCCTTTAAGCAGCATGAGTGACCCTGTTCTTTGTGTTTCAGGCACGGCTCCCAACTCTCCAATCAGCTTGCCTGAGTCACCCATCTCCCCATCCGTCTCAGGGCCCTGGGGAGATGAATGCACCATCTGCTATGAGAACATGGTAGACACGGTCATTTACTCCTGTGGACACATGTGTCTCTGCTATTCGTGTGGGCTGAAGCTCAAGAAGATGGCCAACGCTTGCTGCCCTATTTGCAGACGGGCCATCAAAGATATCATCAAAACATACCGCAGCACTTAGAGCAGCAGCAGATGCTGTGGTGGGGACTGGGCAGGTGGGGAGGAGACTGTGAAACAACACAGGTCTTGGTCTCTATTAATCATCCAGGAGATTAAAAAAACATCACCCACCACCACCCTGATCCCCTCATCTGTGGACAACACATGAGACAAGCTTAGACGCTGCTCTTCCTCCCTCCAAGAAAGCCCTGGGGCTGAACTCCAGTGTGTCAGGGAAGTTGTGATGGACTAATCTCCCTTGTGGATTTTAAACTTTATCTCAAAAAAAACCCAGCTGGTGCAATCATCCCTTTTCTGGACCATGCACAGTGGAGGGGAGTCTCCACTGTTTAGCAGGGACAGCAAGCAGTGAAAGGTTCAGTGCTACACACTGCCTTCCAGAGACACCCTGTGTGCAGAGAACAGCTTAGCAAAAGAGGAGAAAAGCTGGGGCCAGTGCAGAAAAGGACCCATGGTTTGTGAGGTGAAACCCACCCCTTGTCCACAGGCAGAAAAGCAGCCCCATGAGGGCTGTCCCCTGCTCCTCCCTTGCTGTTCTCTGGCCGAGACATTCATGGCAGGTTTGGCAGCCAGTACTGGCACTGGCCTTGCTCCCTCCCAGCAGCGTCCAGCCATCTCCTGTTGCCATCCCTTTGCATGATGAGCAGCTCTCAAACCCCATCACCACCAATTTGCGTGTGGTCTCCACACAGCACGAGGGATTCAGCAGTATCTCTGCCCCCATGGGCCTGCGGGAGAGGGAGATGTGTCTCCCTCACCTTTCCTCCTCCTACCATCCAGACAGCACTTGTGAGGGAGAAAATAAAATAAACAAAAACAAAACCCCCAACCCCACTGGGGAAGAATGTATAAACCCACGTGTCTACGGGTTTCATTTACTGGTAACTTTATCACTGTGCTTTAAGACAAAACCAGCCAGGTGGTACTCAGCCCTTCAGAGCCAGCCTGACAGCAGGACACGGCTGTCCTTTGTGTCATGAAGAAAGAAAAGAAAAAGTAGCTTGAGGGGTTTGGTTGGCTTTGGTTTATTTAAATATAAATCCCCTTCACTCCTGCCCCAGTTGAGAACCCCGCTGTCCCTGTGGCAGGTGCCTGCAATGGCAGCCCCCACGGTTGCTGTGATAACCACCGCTCCATCTCGGCCACTGGCCTGGCGCAGGGCTGCTGGCCCTTGGGCCTGGGCAGGGAGGCTCTGTGGCAGCAGGAGCTGCCCGTCTCCCCTCCAGCCACATCCTGCTGCCTTCCAGGGCCACACGGGAGGTAGAGACAGCATCTGGGTCCTGAGGGGTGATCAGGGCTGGGGTGCAGCAGCAATGGCATTTGCCCCACCATGTTGCCCACCAGGCCAGGCCAGGGAAGGCCATGGAGTTTTACCCCTTCTGCTGAGCCTCCTCCTGCACCCCAGCGTACAGCTGCTTACAGGACATGGGGGGACCAGTGTGACATAGGGATAAAAGCATTTAATACACACAGCTGTTCACTGCAGAGGGCATCATGCCCCCCCAGGCAGCAGGTGGGTGAAGGAGCACTTGCAGAGGCTGCTGCCAAGAGCGCCTGGAAAACATGTCCTTGTCCCATCCTCTTGAGGAGATGAAAAAAAGAGGCTGCTACAAGCTGTAGAGCCTTTTTCTAAAGGCACCACCATCACTGCAGCCTACCACAGGGGTCTGCAGCTACCCCCAGCCTGCCCCGGCAGACAGTACTAACTTGAATGCTGATATTCTGGTTACAGGGATTTACGTTATTTCTTTGCATACCTCTTGTACACCCCTAACCCAACCCAGCCCTGCACTCCAGGCCAGCTGTTGAAAGCCCTGTGAAAGCATCATGGCTCCTGTGCCCAGATTCCCTCACTGAGGGCTGGGAGGAGGCTGGGTTGGCACAAGTCTGGTGGAAGTCACAGCAGCCACGCCAGGAGCACGGCCGGTCTGCAGGCACACAGCCAGCCTCCAGCTTGCCCGAGGACAGAGCTGTGACTGGCAGACACAGGGAGCCTGTTTCAGTAGTTACACAAACTCCAGTGCAAAGATTTCAGAAAGGACAAACCCAAGGGGTAGGAAGGTATTGATGAAACGGTGGATATGGGGAAATGTGCAATAAGCAGCCTCCCGAGCCTTCACTACACCAGTGGAATCAGTTCCCCTCCATGCAAGGGGTACACTTTATTTTTCAAGAATCTCCATCGATGGGTACCAGTGCAGTGGTGTGAATTCCCTCTTCACCTTTTGAATTCAGAGTGTTTTAATATATAACTGTGTTTGTTTTACTGTGGACCAAACTCTAGGAGTTAGCAGAAGCTGAAAGCTCCCCCAGCATCAGAGCTCAAAAATTGGGGTTAAGTCCTGCTCCCAGCATCAGCTGGCCTCCAGTTGTGAGCAGGGAAGAGGAGAGCAAGTCTCTCTCCAGGAAGAAAAAAAACCAAACCACCACACAGCAACAGTAGCAATCCTAACCTTTTCTTTTATTTGACTGGTGTAGGTTCCCATGTACCTCCGTGTTCTTGTGTCATTTGCATTTCATTGCTTTACTTTAAGATGTTTTGTGTTCTGTTTAAAGAAAATAACAATTCATTGTGAAAAATTGGATAACTGTGATTGTGAATAAAGTTGATTTAGGTATCCTGCAGCAGTATGGGTGACTGATTATTTACTACTTCCACAAGTGTGGCAAAATATGATGGACAGTGCAGTGGCGAGAGGCTGAAGTAAGAGCTACAGTGGTATGAGAGCCTCTTCCTTGCAGGGAGCTGAGTGGAGAGAGCTCAAGCTTTCCTTTAGAGCCTGATAATGAGGATGTTGAGAGCTGGATAATGAATAGGCTCCTGATGGACCCCATACACACATAAGGAGTAAAGGAAGTCACAAAAGTAAAAGCAAGAGCTAACTGTACTCCTGCAAGCCTCAGCCCCATGCTCCTGAGACTCTTCACACCCTCCCACAAGCTTCTTTACTCTCATTGCTTGGTTTGCACAGTCTCTCCCAAGTGAGTGCCTCTAACCACAAAAAAAGCCCTCCACCAGCACAAAAAAGAGAAAGCATACTGTGAAGAAATGTAGGACCATGCTGCTCAGCCTGGCAGGGACCAGGTAAGGTGGCTGAAGATGAGGCAGAGCAGTAGCAAAATTGCCTGGTGTCTGTACCCCAGCTCTGCAGAGATATGATAGTCCAACACCTGACAGGAGGATCCCAGCCCTGAACTGAGCAAGATGTTGAGAAAGCCCACTGACAAGCCATGGTCTGGCCAAGGGAGATGCTGGGGCAATATGCAGATGTTTCCTCAGCATGTAGCAAGGGACACAGGGACCCAAAGGGGATTTGGATTCTCCAGAGTGATGCCAGTTCCCCCCAAACCCCATAGCTCCTCTGCTGCAGGGATCTGATCAGGAGCACACCTATACCATCACTATGTGAGATTTCCTCTTCATCCCTATTTTTAGCTATTCAGCAGATAAGAGACTGGCTGGATCACTCTCTCTTGTCACAGAACTTGAGTTGCCATCTTCTCCCTCAGTGTGGGTACTCCATCTGCCAAGGGACAGGGACATCCCAGGAGAGGTGCCCTCAGCCTCTCCAGCTGAAGCTATTCCACTCTAACAGTTCCCCAGTGGCCTAAAACTTGCCAGGCTCAGTAAAGCAAAACCTCTTCTACAGCCCTGCTTTATCCAACACCCCCCCAAGGAGCTTTCAGCAGCTGTTGGGACAAGGCAAGTCGGCATACACCTGTGCTGCACTCCATGAGCTGTGCCCAGTTCCTGCTTTCCCAGGGAGTGGGTCTGGAAAACCCAGCGAGGCCACAGCCCAGCCACGGGAATCCTCCTCGTCTCCTTGGGAGCAAGGGAGCGCTGCACAACACAGACTGCCCCTAGAAACTGGGGACACTGACCTGACAGACAGCCCCTGCCAGGTGTGCTGAGCCCAAGCACTGCCACATACTAGGACAAGTGAAGATCCTCCCCTCCCTTGGCATCAGCAAGGGCCAGGGCAGGTACCCCTGTGTTGCCCCTCCAGCAGCCACAGCCTATTCATTCCCTCCTGCACCTGCCATGTGCAATAGCCCCGATGAGCTTTGCGCCCTCATCTGGTGAGCATCGCTGGGGTCACCCTGCCCCGACCTCCCTCCCCAGCCATCACCGGCCATCACCATCAGCTCACCAAATCCAAAACAGGTCTGCAATTTCACAATTGCTCCCAAGCTATTCTCCACCAAGACCAGCCATGGCGCAGCACAGACCTTCCCCGGTGACGGCATCCCACCGCTGCAGCCCTCCCTCCCTCTGCGGCCAGGGCCATCCCCAGGGCTCGCCCGGCGGGGACCAGCTGCGGCACAGCCCGCGGGGCTCGGGCCCATGGACCCTGCTGGGGCGGGGGGGGGAGCAGGATTTGGAGGACGGAAGGAGGGAGGATGCTCCGAAAATGGTCCAAGAGCAGCAGAGCTGGTCCAGCATCGCCACCTGGTGCTCCGTACGCGGCACGGCACACAGCCTCTCCCCTGCCTGCCTTATTTTGGTTTTCCCCCTTCTCCTAAGGTTGATCTTACTCCTTTTCACCAATACTACAAACACAGGTAAGTAGGACCAGAAAAATTTAGTCTAGAGTGCAGCACAGCTCTGGTAGTGGCTCTCAAGAGAAAAATGAGGAATGAAGGGAGCAATTAACAGTGGGTTACCATATGCAAGGGGGTACATTAGTATGTGGTGATTGCACCAGTCCAGAAAAACCCTTTCAACCCTAAGCTGGCTGGCTTACTCTGCACACAGGGGAAGAGGCGGCACCATTCCCAGGCACACATCACTAACTCTGTGTCTTAAAAAGGCCGAGGTGGTGTGCTGCCTCGGATCTAATTCCTAGCCTCCTTCAGAAAGCCTGAGAGCTGAAACATTCCAAACAGACTCCTTGTGCGCCAATCCACCTATGTGCCAGCATGGAGGAGTATCTCATGTCTCATGGGTGCTGTCAGCAAATGCTATGTCTCCACTAAGAGCTGGCTCACCTCAGGGCCTGGGTGTGACTCACTGCTCCACAGGATGTTTGTGAAGTGCTACAGCACATGGGTGAAGGCATAGCCCCATGCCAAAATGAGGGATGCAGTCATGCAAGGTCACACTCTGCTGCAGGAACAAAAGGTTGGGGATGGCCAACACCCTTCTGCAGTCCTGCCTTCCAAAGTGGCAGCCAGGCACTAGCAATGACCCCTTTTACCTACAGATTTGTAAACTTCTAACAGACAGTAAGGAGGTGGACAACAATAGAGAGGTCCTATAGCCAAAAGTTGGGAACTGAAGCGCTAGAAAACACTTCTCTATTCTCTGCTATTACATCCCCTATTACAACCCGCTCACCCATTATATCCCCTATCTACTGCCTTCCACATGCCCAAGAGATCTCCCACATATGGAGCAGGGATCCATTAGGAGAAGCTCTTCAGTTTTACCTGGCTGCTGCTTCACACACCAGAGAACTTCTGCCTGAAGTATTTGGGGCCTCCATCCTTCAAACATGGGTAACAAGAGCCAGCAGGGCCCAGCAACCTCGTAGGATCTGACTTTAATATCCCATGTTCACTGCAGCCTGCATGCAGGGGTGTTATGGGCTCACCCCAACTTGCAGAGTAACCCTTTCATCACAGAACCAAAGGGCCACTCAAGTAAAAAGGATGCTTTTCTTATTTTGGATATGGTGCCACATCCCTCTCCAGAAAACATCCTGCCAGAGTATTTTAAACCTTTAAGACCTTGCTCAACAAGCAGAAAAGGTCTTCATGTTTGGGGACAGAGGTAAGCAGTCCATAAGACTCTGTGGATTAGAAAAGAGACAAAAAGACATCATACAGTAACAACTCAGGGCCAGGGGACAAGAGAAGCTCCTTTATCCATTTAAGCTTAAGCTGAAATTTGCCGTTGCATATACACATAAGTTCTAAGTTATTCTGGGAGAGCTAAATTCAGTGGTTTGACAAACACAAGCGGAATTAAAACATACTGAAAAACTTGAAAAAAAACCCAAACCAATTGGATCACAATTAAAAAGGTCAAAAATTTATTTTTCCTTAGGGCATAAGAGGCAATGTAAACAAAATACCAACAAACAAAACAAAACAAAAATCACGAGTCAATTCTTACAGTCTGCAAGCATTTGAAGATAGAGTACCCTTTTCCCACCTCCCCCCAAAACACTGCAAGCCTGCTCAAATGTTAACAAGCAACAATTCTGGACCCTGAAGGTCCGAGTGAGTTTTGCCATGTCCCAAGCCAGGATTAAATTTCTCATGTAAGAAGGACACTGCATCTGTTTTATCAAACACTTAAAAAGTCCAACAAAATATAAATATTACAGACAGAGATTAGATTTAGCACCACCTTTGGTCCAAGCAATCCATGAACTGGGAGATGACAAGTACAGTCTTGCAAGTCCTTTCTGCCTGAGTCTTTGAAAACATTAGAGGTTCACATTGCAAGAATTTGTAATAACTCTTGAGAAACACCCCTCAAACTCTGGCAGTCCCTCACAACCTCCCCAGGTCCTGTGCACATGAAGAGGAGAGCATCACCACTGTGCAGCAGTGCACAGCAAACACTGTGACAAGGGTCTGATCCTGCTTTGGTGCAGCAGAGCTCTGACTTTGGGCATGTCTGAAGAACAAGAAGCACAGTGACAGTGTGCCTCCTGAATTTCCCTTTCGACTAGCATTTGCCACCCTCCAAAGGCGGCAGACGGCAGCATCTGCATGCTGTCAGGGGGTGTGATGGCAGATGAATGGAAGGAGCTAAAGTTGCCTAAATGCAAGTTTGGAATATATCTGGAACATGCGAATCAGAAGCTCTTCTATCAAGCTCAGTTTACTCCAGACCCTTTTTAAGCTTATCTTTTCCAATACACACATGCCCATCAGAGCTGCATGGCTATGAATTTTTACAGAGAGGTGTCACTACTCAGTTGCTGTGCCACAGTGGTAGTGTGGGCCAGGATACAATTACAAGGATCTGTGACAATCCTAGAAGAAAAATTAAGTTCATAAATCACCTGGCAATATTCTACATTTATTGCAACTCCCTCTACATGCGTCCAGAACTCAGTTTGTCTTATATTTTCTTCCAGGAGTTTTTGAGCAGCATAAATTAACCATTATTAAATGCTGTTCAATTCCAAGATAACACCAGCTTTAAAAAATGCCCTAAGAGAAATGCCACAAAATACTTTTAGGCACAGCAATCCGAAGTTTTTGTTCTGCATCTTCACGTGCACAATTGCCTGAGACAATTTGTGTTTCTCATTCCCTGTTGAGAGACCCATGTAGAGTTTTCACCTTTACAGGCACAAACATGATTCCAATCCCTCAAACAAACAATTGTCTTCACTGCTTTACACAGTGCTGCTCTAGGGAAACCCCCCAAACCTTAATTGCTTTATACTGTTCTGCAGTTCTCCGAGCAAGTACTCAGGCATGGCACGAGGCTGTTGGGCAGTCACAGAGAAGAGGGAAGCCCTCCAGTATGCAGCCCCTGTCCCACACAGGGAGCAAAAACCCAATCCAGGTCACCCACGCCTGTGTCATGAGCAGACACAGGCTGATCTGGTGATATTCAACCCCGTTTACTGCACTTGGCCTGCGACATAACCACAAGGACAGCTCTGAAACCAGTTCTGGACTGGGCACTAAAGTCAAGTAAAGTCGCAGGTCTGGATGAGGGGGAAGTTAATGCTTTGTGCAACTGTTTCCCCCCCCCACACACACACACACTGTCATATGCAGAGCAAATGAAAACATTGTGCTATGGTAATTTCATTAATTCTCACTGGGACATAGACACATTTCTACTGTCCCAGTCACAGAACCAGGCTCACAGTACCGTATGTATCAGCTCAATTATCACAGGTCCCCGGGTGATCTGTGTTAAAGCTTGAGGGACATTTCTACAGGGTCACTTGACAAAAAGAAGAGGTATGTTTTCTCCACTGATAATGCATCTTTTGTGTTAGCCTGTAGAGAAGTTACTCATCTTTGTTAACTAGTACTCTAATCTGTATCAAATCTACCATATTTACATGCAGACTCCAGGACTGGTCACAAAAATGGTCTTCTGTTTTGTGCCAGTTCAGACAGATTGGGGCATCTAACCCCTCATTAACAATAACTCTTGCCATCAATGGCAAAAGGTACTGTTAAGTGCAAAAAACGTCATTTTTCTGGGTTTCGATTTTACTGGGATGACAGAGAAAGGCAAAATTTTCTATCATGCACGTGATTTCCTTTTCTAGGAAAGCATCTCAGAGACCCAAGCACATCCGGACCCTTGAAGGAGCTGTTCACTGTACAAACAGTTTTATCCAACTGGTCACCATCTCAAGTTCATTAAACAAAACTGGGACAATGCATGAGTCTGCAGTTACTGTTCCTGTCTCTAGCTCACATTTGCTATAGGCACATTAAGGAGTGATGCTGTGAATGTCAAAATACCTGTGAGCTCGGGAAGAATCAATACTTAGCCAAAAGGTCTAACATCTGCATTATGAACACTATTTATTCCACTACCTTCAGTGGAGCTGGATCAGAGGCCACAAGAAAATATGGTCCAAAGCTGTTACCACGAAAGAGGGTTTCCACAGACTCATTTTCTTCCTCTCTTGGCTTAACTTGCAACCCAAAACAAACTGAATGGACTCCTGCCCATAAACTCTCGTAAAGAAAAAAAAAAAAAAAAAAAAAAAAAAAAAAAAAAAAAAAAAAAAAAAAAAAAAGCAGCAGCTCTGTTATTCCTTCTCCTATACACTGCAACAGAAACCACACCAACTTCTAGACCTTTTCCCAAGCGGGACAGAATGGTTCCCATGTTAAAAAGAAAACAAACAAATAAAAGACAAAAAAAGTATCACCAACTTGACCACACACACTAAGACCAGCCACACATTTCTCTATCTCCGGTCACCGACATACTCTCCCAAGCTCCCACCAGGTACATTCCCCACCACTTAACCACTAGAATGGAGTGCTACACCAACGCAGAAATGACAACAGCTTCTAATATTCAAGGTCACATTAAGAACATCAACCACCCAGGAAACCCACTGCAAAACCTCACTTAGACCAGGCCTAGATTGATTTTTTATTATTTTTTATTTTCCAAATACAAATTTGGGACAGTAGAACCTATAGGAGTTTCCAGTCCAGACACGTGCAATTGCTCTGCTAATGGAGGGGAGCACAACTGCTCAAACAGATTTCAGCCTTCATTCAGCAAGTTTATGCTCCCAATAACTGCCTACCCACCACTTCCAAAGACAATCTGGGCTAATAAACAGCTCTGGAAACAGCTACAGATGTACACATTCAGCTGAGCTGCTTTCAACACCCACCTTGAGTTATCTGCATCTGAATTTTCGCCTAAGCAGCAATCAAACTGCTGGCAAGAATTCTCCTGACATGAAATTTGATATGGAGTCTTAACTGAGAAGGCTCATCTGCTTGCCTCTCCAAAAACACTGCAAGCAGAGTAATGAGCACTGCTGTCTGCAATTAAACTGCAATAAAGGAACAGCACTGATGTAATGTGAAGTTAGCCAGACAGCAGAAATGCACCTACTCTGTACACTATTGACCCCACAATACTCAGTTTGGACCCTCAATACAAAAAAGTCATTGTAATGCTACACACACTTTTCTTTTACAATACTCCAGGTTGGAACTCATCGTGAGTAATGAGCAAGTCTTTTCAGCAAGCCTATTCAGCATGCTGCAGAAAAATTCCTCCTAGAGACTGGAAACAATTACAACCCTCCCCCTGCCCCAAAAATCCAAGACAGGAAATAGTTAAGTCCACCATTCACTGAAATATTTCATTCTTTAAAAGTTTTTTTAAAAAATTCCTTTTTTATTTGTTCCAGTTTATTAATTGTTACAGGCTAATTCCAGTGGCTGCACTATTCTCTTCTGTCCTGCTTCCAGGGAACGGAAACAAACTGAATCTGGATGCTTAGGGGGAGCCAGAGTCTGAACAGGATTTGATGCCCCCCCCCTTCCTCCCCCAGTCTAAACCCCAAGGGTTATGATGGGATTTTGTTTCTTTATTACTGCTTCCCCAGTGACCCAGAAGCAGTTCAAGAACAAGCTCTCAAACGACAAAATAACTGTTTGCCCAGAGAAAGCTGCCATGTTGCTCAAATTTCAGACATCAAAATAGTCACTAACAACTCTGAAGGGGAGTACTGCAGAAGCCTGAAATATTTAATATTAAATGTTGTATTTTAAAAATTCTCCTACAGTGTCAAGTGATTCTCCCTCTCCTCTGTTTTTCTCTTCCACCAAGCAGGGACCAAGAAAGACAGGTACCATTGTAACCAAATAACCCTGAGCATCAGGGAAAGATCACTAAACCCAACATTTTCCTAGAAGTGCTACTAGCACAGCGCTGTTTCACAGAGGGCCAATGCGGGCAGACCTAGAACAGCCACTCCTGCCCACTCCATCAGCTGAACCTCAGTGTATGCAAACTCCCAGACGTACAAATCGCCTCAATTGCAACAAACACATAACCCATGTTTGTCTTTGGTGAATCATTGCTTCAAGATGCAGACTGTCATAGTATATCATGGAGCAACACAACCTCAACTTTTCTCAATAATGAAAAATCCTAACACAGAGCAGTGATGTATTAAAACTTATACAGAGAAAGCACCTGCAGTGTCAGACCCAAAAATTTATGGCCTTATTCGAAACATGTTTTTCCTCGTATTTTATCCATCTCTCCCCTGCCAATATAGTTACTTTTAATTGCTTTCCAAATTATCAATGTAATTCCCATTATTTTAATTCAGTAACAAACAGGAGTCTCAACTCAGGACAGTAGTGGCTTATGCTGACAATAACAGGTCTGTAAAACGCCAGTGTGAAGCTTTAAACCAAATTTATTTATTAAAAAAAACAAACACAAAACAAAAAAAAAATTGCACTCTCCAACTAGAATCAATGCTACCTTGATGCAAGAACAAATGAAGAACACTGTTGATGGGACCAGCCCAGTCCTGACATTATAAAATGGGAAACACTAATTTGTTCTGCCTACGCCAGTCAGGTCCGCACGCGGTGCGGCACAACTTTCACTCCAGGAATCACTGTGAAGCCCTAGCCCTGATGTGAGGGCACCCAAGAAAAGAGATCCCCTCATTCCACCCTTGGCAATGCATGCACACCCCACAAAACTGACACCCCAAATTAGAGTTATGGGTGACTTTTTACAGACATCTGTGCTTTGCTCCAAGTTGGGTCCAAGATGGGAGGAGGAAAAGCAGCAACAGCATGCCAACCCAAAGTCAACTGACTGTGGGGGCTTCTGGATCTGACCCTACATACAGTACTTAGTTTGAAAATTACAGACAAACACAACAGACAAGACTACTGAGCAGCACAGAGGGAGAGAAAGAGAAATACAAGCACTGGGCAGAGCTAGCAGAGGCCATCCAAGTGTGCAGACATATTCCCCATGCATTGCTGCATTGGTGGTCCCTGCTTCTACCAAGCAACTAAAAGCAAATGAAAATAAAATAACTTACACATATATTTGCTCTCAGACCATCGAATTGGTACTGTTGGCAGCTATCAAACACTGCATTTACACGCAGCACATTGCTACGTGGCTAAATAGTATCTGAAGTTGCCAGACAAGAAGCTGCCAGTGATGGGAAGCCACCAGCAAATAGCAGCAAAGCTCCAGTTGGTTTTAAAAAGCTGAAAGACCTGCAGAGAAGTAGATCATGGCATGGCAGTACTGCGGCTCAGCAGTCCTGTGCACCCTTTGGAGGCGAGGGAACCAAGTGCATGGTGCTTGCTTCGGCCGAGAATGATCCATGCTGAGCGTCCGTGAGGCACTTTGCTCCACTGCGGGTTTTCTGTCAGTGTAACTCTACTGATGCTCATGGACTTCTTGCCATTTTAGAAAAGAGCACGTGAAAGAATAAAGATGACTCCTCAAAACCAGATTCATTTGTAATTAGAGGTTTTTCAAAATTATGTAATCGACACCATTTCAGTACAGCTGCAGAATTTAGTTTTCCTGTTTGAATGCAAAGGTCTCTGGTAATATTAAGGCTTTTGGACAAACTTAAGAACAGCAGGACAAAAATTAAGCAGAAAGATGAGGTACATCCCCTCTCCAGGGACATGAACTAGAGCCACAGGAGACATACTTCCCAGAGCTCAGAGAATCAAGTGCTCTGGCTTTCACATTTCTCTTCCAACTTACAAACCAGTCCAGTTTTTTAAAAGGTAGTAGTTTCTGCTGCTACCTGGAAAGTCACATTATTTTGGACAGATGGAAGTTCTTGTTCCATTCAAATAGAATTTAAGACAAAACCTCTTTTGAAGAGCAAAGTTTCTGCCCAACTTTATTTTGGACCTGAGTGATCAGCCTTTGCAAGCCAAGAAATATGAAATCAATACCCACATCATCTGTGAAATTCTGCAGGTGAGAACTCACCCAGATAAAACATGGACCTTTTTTCTTAGGTTAACAATAAGGAAAGAAAAGAAATAAGGACCTGTAAAAATATTCCCATAGCTCTTGCCATAAATGCAAGTAAAGATACAGTATCAAAACTTGGGACTGCACCAGCAGAATTATTTTCCCTTCTGAAGTTATTGATTCTGAAGCATAACAGAGGACGTAACCAGCAGAGACACACCAGAAGACAGTATCATGCATGGATGACAGAGTGTTTCAAGCATAGCTCAGAAGTCCTGTATTGGTAAGGATGTTAATGCACACTCTATACATAACCCTGGCAACATGCTGCATAATCCTTATACTTTCAGTAACAGGTCATGGTTTTTTTGTGAAAAGCAGCCATTCCCACCCCAAACCACCCCAGCTATCAGTCCCTACCTACCTAAGGGTCCTGTTTTCATTCAGCCACCCCCTCCCCTGCGTTTCCCCTTCCCCTAAGAGTGCATGAATAGAGAATTGCAAATTATTTCACACTGCACGTTCCACTCCAAGTCCTGGATGAGGGGCCTGTTTATTCTATGAATATTGCACTTATCCACTTATTGGATTTGGTTTTTTCTCAAGAATGCAGAGTATTTGGGAAAAAAATTAGAAAAAAATAGTAGGATACAACACAGGGAAATATAAGTATTAACAAGCTAGCTATGAAGACCTAAAATTAAATAGTACTAGTTCTATTCTGTTAATACTAGTAATATGAAAATAATGAATGCTTTATCAAATTCCCTTGTTTTTCATATAAGATAAAAGCAGTAACTTTCTTTTTAACTGAGGAAAGCAATGAATATATATTACAATAAAATACGATTCATTAAGATCTGAAAGTGATGAAAACAATTATATAATGCCTTCGTCAAACTTTATAGCATCATAACAGAAGGAGTCTTTGGGGTGCGTATCCACAAGAGCCAAATCCATTTTTTAGCTATACCCGTGCAGACATGAAATTCACTTTTAAGAGTTTAAATGTGATCCAATTTCAATCCTTCATTATTGTGTATTTGCTATAATTGTATACATCGATTGAAAAACATCCTGTTGACACATCAGTCACATATCCTGACATGTGCCCATCATATCTTTTGTCTTGAAAAGTTTGGCTTGCAAAGGACTGGTGCATATGATTATACCCACCCACTGCAAGGCATGAGAGCTAAATCAGTTAATAGGAATTGCCTCCCAGAGGTAAGGGCTGCTAACAAAAACGTATTACTCTTGCTGTTATGAGAAAGTGTTTTGAAAGGGGAGACAAGGGAAACCAGCAATGAAACTTTTCAGGCATTATATAAACCTCAATAACGAACTCAGAAGTGCTCATTATTATTAAAGTTGCAGTATACAGCAAGACACAATTTTCACATTCTTCAATTTTGTTCTCTGGTATTGGAGTCTGGATTTTCTGCTGGTCCAAATTCAAGACTCTGGAAAGCACGGACAGCGGGTGAGAGCAACGTGGTGACAGCAGCCGCCTCTCCCCCCGGAGGAGGGCCCCCTTCAGCTGCAAATGGCTTTGCCCAAGCCCTGCAGAACTCTTCCTCTTAACAATCTGGTTCAAGAATAAACCAGAAAGAAATTTAAACAGTACTATTGATTTCTGCATTGAGTGTTCACTGAGGTGTACATTACACTTAAATATTGCTCTTGATCCAGTGTCAGTTTTGACAAATTTAGTAAATAAAGCTTAAGGCAACATTAACATTTTAGAAAAGAGCTAAAACACTTCTAGTACTACACTGTCCTCTGAGGCACCCTGCCAGGTTTTCCTGCCCTGTAGTCAGCTTTTCTGACTTAGCTTAAGGCCTTTCACTCTGTTTCACAGTTAACAGTGGAAAGAGCTTGCTGCTTCAGGTATCAGTGGAGCTGACCAAAACTAGCTGCTCGCTGATGGAAAAACGAATTATTTTCCTGATGTCTCTCAGTTGAAAGAATCAAAAAAGAGATCAGAGAGAGATGCTGTGACAACAGTAAGATGGGAGGGGGGAGGAAACTGCACTGGAGGGAAATTGCTTTAAAAGTGCCCTTTTAAACACAAGCAGTCAAAACAGCCACCAAATAAAGGGAAGCCCAAAACAAAGCTTTGGTGGCCCACATTCATTTCTAGCACCAAGTAGGTAATTTGCACCCTTTCCTTTTTGCTGGTGCAGGTGGGGGCACAGGGAGGAGGGAGGCCATGAGCGTGGCTTTGCAGCCCATATACAGGGTCTGGCCTCTCCTCAGGGGACCACGAAGCCTTTGAGATAGGATAAAGGAGCACCTGAGCCATGGGACACCAAGCTGCTGCTTGAGAAAACCCTGGCAGTACTGCAGGCACCCTCACTCTGGGTCATCTTCTGCACTGCTTGGAGGTTAGCAAGCTTCCTCCCTGCAAAAGCCAGAGCTGGAGAAACAAACCAGCAAGGTGGGAAGGGAGCTGTGGGACAGACTGACATCTGTTACAGAGCTGGCCCATGTTTCACAGCAGAGCCTGAAGCCCTCACACTAATCTGAGCCTCACAGCGAACCTGCATCCACTGGGGACCAGCCTCATGCAAGGCACATGGTAGCCAGGCACCACAACCATCTGCCAAAACCAGCTTTGCCACCCCAAACCCTGCAAGGACTCCTGCAGTTCAGAGGTGCTCTGGACTCAGATGTGCTGGATGCAGGTGTGAATATTTATAGTAGTCCAGGCTCTCCTGTCTGCGTGCTGCTTTCCTCTCCCTGGGTAGGGGCTCATGTCATGCCACACCATACTCAGAGAATTCAGTGGCTCAATGCAGAAGATCTGGGAGCTGTGCTTTTACATCCCCCCAAAGAGATGACCTAGTGGGAATGTCTTTAAACAACACTTTAGAATATTTTAAATAATAAGTTAATTCATAATAAATATGTGCTTCAAGAAAATCATAATTATATACTGCACCTTTAAATAATGCACTTAGTTCTCTGCATTGGCTTCCATTTTGGTTTCTTTTATTGTTAAAGTGCATTAATTCAAAATAATGAACCACTTCCGCATCATTATTGTTAAAATAAATCATAACATTAATATGAGTCACTAAGTCACTACTATTAGTACTGCAATCTAGCAGATAACTCTATGTATTGCTCTATTTAATACTGTCCAGCAGAAGAATATAATACTTCTATTATAATCTCACAACAGCTCCAGCAGTCTTTTATGGCTGCTACCATGTTAGTACAACTAAAAATGGGGAGAAGTATGAGAGGCAGGGCCACAATGCCTCAGAACACATCCAGTAAGATGTAGCTAACTGGACATATGCATACATATTATATGGTAAGACATTAAGGTACAAAGAGGACCCTGCACACTGTGATATGAGCTGCTGTGCAGATACACCTCCTTCTCCTGCCACCACAATTTAAAGGGATCCCAACCAGTCTCCCTCCCCACCTGGATGCAGATTGCTGCTCGAATCACAGCAGTTTGCAGCCAGTTGTGGCACCTGAATGTTGTTTCAGCTACCAAAAGGACATCAGTCAGGTTAGCCATAGGCAACTCTCTCAATATTACCATGGAAATTAATAAAGACCCCAAACCACAAAAAAAAGAAGACAAGAACAACGCATAAATTGTGTAAATTTTTTTTTGGCAGAGAAACATCCCCAGTAACACACGATATTGTTGTGTTATTTAACTTAGCTCCTTTATCCCAGCTATTTTAAAGTCTTTATAACCTTTACTTTCCAAGCCAAATTGGTATGAAATTCTGGTGGAAAAAAGGGCATCTATCATTTTGTGTAAACCAGTAGTGAAATGGTCTGCTCCCTCCCCCTTAAAACAGATTTACAATGCTGCCTGTTATTTAAAGGAACTAGATAGTGATCTTGAGTGACTAACAAGGCAATTTTTTTTTTAAAAAAAGCATGACTTCCTCAAGTACAGTAGGGATTTAGCCAATGATGTTTACAGTACAAGAGTCGGCTACCTCGTGAATAACTCCATATTCCTAGCCTTTTCCAATGGATGCCTCTTCCCTTTCCCACCACACTACCCCACCGTCTGCCATGTTTTCAAAACATGAGTTAAGAAAGGCATACAGAAATGGAACTAAGAGAGGCAGCTTCCTGGTTAGATGCATTGTAGACCTAATTTATTTGACACTAAATCTCTAAGCCTGAGAAGCCCAGGCACACTTCCCTGTACAAATATACTTTTTGGATTCAAGTGGGAACAGAAACACGTATTTGGCTCCTACTTCAGTTTTAAGTCTCTTCTGGTAAAACAAGACCAAAAAAAGTAAACCCAGAATGCACAGAAAAGACAAAAACTAAACACAGAAAAATAATTCCCCAAAAATATACAAATTAAGGATGTGCAGACTGAGTTTGATGGCTTCTCCCCCCCCCCCCCCCCGCCACTGTAAACACTGATGTTGCAGAAGGTTATGGCTATTTCTAACTAATACCTTGGTGGGCCCTGCCAGCAGTCAGCACGCTTGGATTTGGACCAGATCATGAAGACAGAAGTAACACATTTGACAGCTTTGTCTTTAGTGTCTTAAGGGACTTTTGTACGTTTTGATATTATGACAAGTTTTGAGCAACCCAACTCTGGGAAGAGAATCAACCAGGATCACCTGGTAGGAGTCAGGCACAGAACTAAATATGGAGCTTACAAAGTCATCGACATACTTAAGCATGGGGTTTGTAGGTTTGTGTTTACAAGCACCAGTAGGCATCGCTGCCCATAGAACACCTGAAATCCCAACTGAAAGAACAAGACAGAACAAAAGGAAACAAAGCCCCCAACCAACACCACCTGGTTGCCTTTCCGGTGACTTAGCAGTAACAACAAAACACAGCTGAAGTCAAAGACCAAATCTCTCCACAATGAAAAGGCTCCAACTCTGGACCAACCAACTGTTGAGAACATTAAAAAAAAGTGAACATCTCCAAAGGATTAGAGTCCCTCTGTGTTTCAGAAACTTCCATTTGCTTCTCACTGTAAGTTGTGGAAATGCATCCAACTCCTGGGTATTCCACGTACAGACAAGAATGAGGAGAAAGGGAGCCAAGATTGTAAAACAGAGTTTGGCACAAAACTCCCCCAGTAGATGCATGTGTATTTCTCTCTCACAAAAGGCACACATTTGGTTTCCTATCAATAACGGGAAAGATGGGATATCATACCCTGTTACACATACACGATTATTAACAACTTCACAAAAAGGCATTTGACTATGCTGCATCTTCCTCATAGTTGCTTATAACACTTTAACCCCACAAACCTCTTCAGAACATGGCAGATTTGTCCTCAGCATAGACTCCTTTCTCCCTTTGTACAAACTGGAGCACAGGGAAACGTCTTTTTGTGTAGCAATTGTTTTTTCCACATGTACACAGCAGGAACAGTATAAATTAGGGAGGTTAAAGATATTGCAATTAGTTCTTTTTCTCCAAGTAATTTGAGGGCACCCAGCCTTTGAATGGCTTCACACCATTCATGATCTGGCAGTACCACCAGCCATTTGGGTTCCTTTCAAGGACCTCCATACAGACACCTTCCTGAAACCCGGCAGTCTCCTCATCCCCTTCATAGTCTGCAATGGAAACATAGATGTCCTTGAGATTGTTGTGGATAAACTGGGATTTCTCAATGGGCTTTGGCCTGACTGTGGACACAGGAATCCCATTCCTCTGGGTAGGGAGGTTGGAGGTGGTCTCCGAGCCCTCTGTACCGGACCGCTCAGGCTGCTTTCCCTTTGCGTCACCAGGCTGTGACCACGCGTTGCTGAAGGAGGAATTCCGACGGACGGTCCTAAGATGATCTGTAGTTGTTAAAGACTCATTTCTGCGCAAGGAGCATGACAGGTTGTTATCCTTTGGTGGTGGAGACACAAACACTGACTGTGGCCGGACAGCAAGCTGCCTCACACCATTCCTCATTTTGACTGGCCCTGATGGTTTTGAAAAACCACCAGGAGGTTTGCTTGGGATGGGTGGTGTTGCTCGTTTGCTCTGGTTGATGGTGTTCAAAGCCTGAACCCTCTTCTCTATCTTCTCTAAACTGTTTGACTTTTCATTTTTCCTGTTCCTGGCAAATGAGGCATCAGTCTCTGCTGATGTGGTTTCTCGCTGGTTATCAGGGAGAGCCAAATAATGGGAAGGAGCCCAGCCTTCCATGTCTCCATATTTCAGGTACCACCATCCACTGGCTTGCTTTTCCAGCACTTCTACTTCTACTCCTGCTGGGAAGCAAATTTCAGAATCCTGTACCTTTTGGTATGAGTCAGTGGTCACATAGAAACATTTGGAATCATTTTCTTGCTCAGTCTTGACTGGATGGCTAGAGCAGAAAATGCCACGGGAAGGAGCTGTAATGAGATCAGCCGAGCTCCTCCTAACAGGATCGTCTTGGTTCTCAGCAGCTGTGTGTGGGGGGCTCTCGGATTCTTCACTTCTTGAACCTTTAAGTCCACCTCTGAGTTGCCCAGTTGGCCTCAGTTGACGCCTTAAAGTGCTGATATCCATCTTTTCTTGGCTCTGAGAGTCTGCCTTGTTTAGGAAGGGTTTGGGCCTAACGATTGGCTTTGCTCTAATGGAAGGACTCTGCCCAGGCTCTTTCTTCAGGCCTGTTCTTGGCATGCTACGCAAGCCAACATCTGAAGCTGACCTTGGTTTTGTCTCCTCGCTCCTGGAATAGTGACATTTTCCAAGATCAGGCTGGATGTTTTTGTCCGTTTTGAGCTTCACGAGTGATGATTTAGGAGAGCTGGAACATGGAGAATTCCTTCGGATCAAGGAGAGAGAGGAGCTTTTCTGAGAATCTGAGTCTCCACTAGATTCCTTATTGGACAAAGCATCTTCCACATAACGCCTGAATCCCTCATTCTCATAAATGGTCTCTTCTTCATGAGCAACATCTTCTGAAGACTCTCCTACTTTGAACTTTGCTTTCTGAAGTGATGACACAGGAGAGGGCTTGAGGGGCTGAAACAGTCGTTTTTCAGGAGTGCCCTCTTCACGATGACTTTCACTCACTTCACACTCTGAGTCAAAACCAAAGGCAGGCACATCATACTCAGGTTCTTCGTATTTCAGTTTGTGGGGAGAGTCCTGGGTATCTCCTGAAGAAACTGTTCCAGCAGTTGTTCCTTCTTCAGAGTCTTTCGGTTTACTGGGAGGTGCTGGGGGAGGAACTTTTGGGCGGGTTAAAGTACTGGTTCTTCTGTTTAAATTTGGCTTCTTCCTTTTGTCAATGTAGGATGCTGGAGCCCATCCTTCCTTCTCTCCAATCTGCACATACCACCATCCACCAGAATTCTTTTCTATAACCTAAGAGATGACAAGGAACATGTTACTTAGACAAAAATCTCAATCAACTGCTTTCCACTCCTGCCCTTTCAATCCGGTCCCCTGCAATAACCAAATATTGCAATTTTTCCAGCTGCACTGTTAAGGCTCACCTCTGCTTTTTGTCCTCCGCGAAAGCTTATGCCATCAGAGATACATGACTGGAACTCTGCAATGGTGTAGTATTCCACTTCTACAGAGGGTGGCTCTGGTGGTTTGGGCAACTGAAAACCCTATGACAAATAGGAAGTTTTGTTCAATTAAACCAAAGAAACAGTGGGCTGAACAGCAGTCTGAGAAAATATTTGCTTTTATTCCCTAAAACTCTTCCTTCTTCCCGTGCTACTTCCTAATGATAACTTCCCAGTTCTCCAGAGTGGAAGCTGATGTATTGAGATGGGCCACAAGAGAGAAGTCTTTCAAAATATGCACTGTTCATGCCACCTTCACCAGCTATTAAAACTGTGATAATCTTTACCTGAACAGTAAAACATTTTACTGATGGGCCATAAAGTGTGAGCTGCCGTTCCAGTCACAGTAACAACAGCCCATTTACTCTGAGATTTTGTCCAGAAAGACTCAGTTCTGGATGGCTTGCCACAACTGCAGAAAACTGCATTGCAACAGGCTTGTAATAGATTCTGCCTTTTATCAAATATGCTAATTTAAAATGTAAACCTAATGAATTATTATTAATCCGCTGGTAGATTTTTAAACAATCTGAAACAGTGATATGAGCTAATGGGCATCTATTGTAGCAAGAAACAAGGATAATATCACAGACTCCTATGAAGAGCTTTGCTCAGATCAAGTGACAGGAGTAAGAAAGGACTTTACTACAGGATCAAAAGATTCCAACTCCTCCCTGTAACAGGTTCTGGGTCTCTATCTCAATCCCAACACAAACTGCATTTAAATTGCATTGAGGGTCCATGAGAACCAGGGTACTGCTTTTTACAGCCATTCTGGCAGCATAGCAGACTCCCCTAAAAGCTAAGTGCCTTTACATTAAGCTGTCACATTTTAGAGTTCGTTTATTTATTTTTAAGGTGGTAAACAGGATGAGAGTCCTTTCAAGAATTTTAATATCAAAAGCTTTTCAGATTGTTCAGCAACAGAATGACTATACGATGCTGAAGCTTCACAGCTTCTGCACTTCACTGCTTATGGTTCTAATACAGGAATTGCAGTATGTCAGGATCTCTGGAACAGAGGTCAGACCCGACAGACAGACAAAGGACAGACAAAGACACAAAACAATCCTAAGCCATTAATGGGAGAAGGGCAAACTGCATACTGTGCTTTATCCACTTGCTCCTCCATTTCTAAGATATCCTTGTAACTAACAATCCATGTTTCATCACGCACAGCATGTGGCATTTCACAGAGAATGCACCACTGCACCTTAGGAACCGTGTCTAACAATGTTATAATTGGATATTTCTGCACTTTAAATGCTGAAATACAGCAGAAGTGCAGCATAATAAAATGCCTTCAGATAAAAGGATGGTTTGGATTAAATGAAGATAATTAGAAACAGCAGACATGTTCAGGGTTTCACATATATTATCATTGTTATTTTTAGCATGGGATTAAGTGTAGCAGTCTTGCCAAAACAAAGTCTAATTGAAAATAATGCAAAGAGAAATAGGAAGAAAATGCTAACATGCTATTCATCTAGTTTAAGAGGCATTTCAGATGACACAGAAAAATTACAAGTCACATACTGCTCATAAAGGGTACAGCAAAGATTAAATATTATGCATTGCCTAGTCATAAACAAGTCACTAGCATGCCTTTTGTGCAAATAGACTATGGAGTAGTTCCTATCTGAAGACGACAGTCCTAATCTCCAACTGGTTCATACTTCCAAAATTCCAGCTTTGAGGATAAACAATCATAGGCGGTCTCATTCCTGTAGCATACATCCTTCCATAGGTCACTTTAAACATAAACAAAAGTGAAGCTTAGGACCTCAAAAGAAGGTAGCAATGGAAGTAGGGAAGATGTTCCCAGTTGTTCAAGACAAGAGAAGGTCAAAAGATCCAGTCTGGGCTAAGGACACCCAGAGATCTTTAAACCTTCTGAGTCAACCAAACAGACTTTAATGTTAATGCACAGAACACAGTAGCTTTAGTATGTTCTCCCTTCAATTCGATACCTGCTTAGTTGGGGCAACATTTTTAAAAACAGAAAAACCCCAATTAACATTAAGATGGCCAAAGGTTCGCTCAATACTTAAACAATAAAATGAATAGGCACACAAATAAAGGATCTCTAAGATAACCCCTACACCTTGTACAGCTGGAGAAAGTCTCATAAAGCACCCACACACCTAACCCACTGCTAACATATACCATAAACCAATACAAACCAGACTGGATTCTCTTCGTGGGGGTGGCCTTGTTCTTAGGTTTGGAGAACCTGAGCGGGAAAGGGAAATGGAAGAGTTTATTTAACTTTAAGTACTGCTAAGCATATTTTTCAGCATCTCTCTGCTGTTACGCAGTTTGAGCATATTAGAAGTCAGTATTTGCCATATTTAAGGCATCTCTATGAAACAACATAGGAAACTATGAGGGTATATTAGAAATACCAAGGTAGCTTAGCTATTCATCTCAGCTAAGCCAGCACATTTAAGAGGAAATCACTGCCAGAAAGTAGTGGATTGTATTTTCTGCTGGAACTGACCAGCTCTATTGGAGATTGGCCAGCAAAGAATTGGCCTAATACTTAGCTTTCCCCCCAGCAGTAAAAATAATCCACTAAATTAATAACACTCACATTGTCCTCTATCATAGTATCTTGCCATTCTTTGCACAGACTAGTGTTAGCATCTGCATTTTGCAGACAAAGTAGTAAAAACATTATAGTAAGTTGGCCCCCAGGAAAACAGCTGACCAAATGCAAGAGAAGACATAGGTGGTCTCTGACTTTTAACACACCATCACATCACATTTTAGAGTGTTCAAAAGGAAAAAATCCTGTCTGGGAAAAAGAAAAAAGTAAACAAATACTGGCTACGATAAAGAAGAACCAGTGAGCCCTTGTATAAATTTTAATTTAAACAAAGATTAAAAAAGTTAAATTTTATCACTACTAACGAAGGCCCATATCCTGGAGACCCTGCACATCTACAGACAATGCAAAGATCTGCTTGTGTAGACTCAGCTATAAGACCAGGACATTCCTAAAGGCAGAAAACAAGAATTCATTGCAAGCCAGTGGAAACCCAGACTACTTTACTGCCTTACTTATTTGAGCTCTTTGCGGTGCTATCCTTGCTATGGCTGGGGATCCCTGGGCCAGTTTGGAAGCCTGCTTGTCTGGGGTCATCATGGCATTGCCATTAGAGTCATTGCACAGGATGGGCAAACTGATTTCCTTCTTGGTGATATGTGTTTCTGGAGTCTCATTTTCTGCTTGAGTTTCCTTGTCAGTGGATGATTTCTTGTTCAGCAGGTTACTGATCTCCATGATGTTTCCTATGATTTCCACTGGCCCAGTTAAGTTCTTTTTCCTAGATGGAAGATCATCTTTAGCCTTCTTCAGGTATGAAGCTGGAGCCCAGCCCTCTTTGCCTAGGTACCTGCAGATGCAAAAGGAAACATCTTCACATCAAACACAGCCTTCGCACACATTTCAGGTATAGTAGGCAAAAAGTGATGGATGATAACATAAACCAAAATCTGTGGTTCTCAGATAAGCTTTTGTGGTCTCTGTTCATTTATTATGTATTGATTAGACATCTCAAAGTCATCTGAGCTAGCAGCAAACTGTGGACTGCTGTTAAAAGCCACTAATCATCCTAATGAAGGAGTCTCTCTGGATAAGAAACGCAGTTACTCACAAGGCAAAGGATTTCACCAGTTTGTTTTATGTCACACTTAGTAACAGGCAAACTCAATATTTTCCCCTACAGCAAAAAAGCAAACTAGCGAGTAAACCATTTAAATAGTTTTAATACTTCCTAATGGTAACTCAAAATGGAAAAGGGCTAGAATAAGAACCCAGTACAGTACAGAGCCCCCACATCTGCAGTTTCTAAGGACCTTGTGCAAGCTTTCCCCCTTTCAATTATAATGAACACTGCCCCTCCTCCCTGTAACTCCCAGTCCTGTATGATCAGCTTCTCTCAGGGAGAATAGGGAACTCAAACTACTGCAGCTTCCTCTAGCACTGCAAAGTCAAGGAACAATTTGACCATGTAAAAATGGCTTTGATGTAGACTCATTTTCCTGAACAAGCTAGTGGCTATTTGAAGAAATAAACTGGGAAATCTGAACAGACACCTAATCCAGTACATGTTCCCAGAGCACCAGCCTGATGTGCTCATGCTACACTTCAAACTGAAGTCATTCTTCCACAACTGGGCTTTTGGGAAGAGGGTTTTTCTAACTCCTGCCATTCCTAACACTTCAGTAGGGATTTCAGATTACAATCAGACTCCAGGGAGGACCACGTGGATGAACTCTGCTTTCCCTAATGAAACCCTAACTTGCTACAGAGTGAGTCACTGAAACGCTTCTCTCTTTAATCTCTCAAGATACCCAAAGCAGGCTCTTAAATTCTAAGTGGGAAAGCAGGCACCATTAAAATCCTGGTGCTCAGGAAATCCGCAGGAAATACAAAGGTTAAAACAGTAGGACTCTAATGTTCTTTAATGAAAATGGAGACTTATTAGACAAGAGAGGAAGAAGATGGGGGTGGGGAGGGTGGAGGAGTATCAGCAAATCATTCCCTGGCAGATGAGCAACTTTGTTATGCCAATGATTGGATTCTGAGGTTTGCAAGTGAGATATCTGCACCAGGGCATACCCTGGGCTCATTTACCCCATCCAGAAACTCAAGAGTGACACTGGGACTTGATGGGGAAAGAACAGGAAAATGCAGTGTAGCTTTGCTTCCCTGGACTTCCATTACTCTTCCTGTACAAAAGTAAACACAATTGCTGAACTTCTACCAACAATCACAAGGACCTTTCTGTCCAAAATCTTGCCTTTTGCTCCCCTCCCATCTAGATCAGCCAGGACAATAGGGATGCTGCTTCTCCCTACATACCTGCCTTCCATCACACATGAAGGCAAAGATACGGGATCTCCCCTGCTCAGAGAGTTTCGCAACAAGTTTTTCCAAAGATTCTGGTGTCAAAGGAAAGCATCCAAAATCTCTGAGCTTTGTTTGCTGCATGGAGACTAACAAGTAGTAGAAAAATGGTAATGACTTGATTTGACTTCCAACAAATACACAGCATCCAGCCATTGATACCATGTCAAGATACAATTTGGATCTATTCAGTCTGGTCCCCTTTGAGGCTTTTCTGATAAGCCTCAAGCAAATGCAAAAAGAAAACAACAAAAAAAAGGCCTCAATATGTGCCCTTTTCTAGCCCCAAAGACTTTTGGCTTCACCCCCTTTTGCAACAGATGGGCCTTTTGCAGAGCTATTGACCAATGCTTTCTGCTGCCTTTGCATCAGGAAATTTTTTTAAAGGACATTTGTAACTTTACATGATCTGGAGATGTAAAGGTTTTAATCTGCGAGAAAGACACATTGGCCAATGCACTGAGCATTCCAGTTCCAAAAGTTACTTTCAACAGAGTCTGATTGTGCAAAATCAGCAAGAAAAAACAGTTTACATCCATCTTAGTTTGTGGAAAACTGAACATGTTTAAGATTAAGATTAGAAGGGTAGTTACAGACAGGTTCTGTAGTGGCTCGTTAGTTCTCTTGCCAACGCTGTGTATTTGGATCAGCCCATATAACTGCACTGCTTCAGACACCTCTGATCTTAACATAGTTTCTCCCAATGAATAGCAGCACCAATAGGTGGACAGTTAATAACTGTGGGCAACATACCCTCAATAGAAAGGCTGTTGCTAGTTATTTCTTCCTGTGAGTTAGAAAATTCAACCTAAAGTTAATGCTGAACAGTAGTTGCCAGCAACTTTCAGTTTATTTGTGCACTGTCACAAATAAAAGCTACTTATGTAAATCAAATTGGCTTACATTTTTCACCTTAGGCCTTGAATTTGGTTATCTCAAAGCCCTCTGCAAACATCACCCCGGAAGACTACTTGATCTCTCCATTTTATAGGTGAAAAATCTAAGGCAACTGCTATGAGCATCAGAGAAGTCCTGAGCTGGTAATAATCTTCAGTTCACATCTAAGAGTTAAATCACAAGTATCCTTCCTTCATTTATATTCACAACCTACTGGAGATATTTCATACCTCATCTTAGATTCCTTCTCATTTCAGTGCCACTAACACCTCCCAGCTGCACTTCATTCACATGGTCTTAGGCTCAGAACAAACCACAAAATGAAGATGCAGGCAAATAAAAAAACCCTTTATTTAGCATATTGCTACTTATTTGGCCTGCAATCCACTAGGGTACCATGAGATTACCTCCAGGTAATTGATACAAAACAAGATCTAAATAATGGATGCAAATGTCAGCTACCATCATAACAAGAAGCAAAGAGATCCACTGAACTCAGCAGAACAGTAAGAAGGATCCCAGGTCAGAGCCTTTCTTTTATTTCTTCAGTCCCAATGATTTTTTAAAAAGCCTGTTTTGCCCTGTGTGCATTATAAGGAAGACACCAACACTGCCTCTAGACTTTACAGCATTGAATGGGGAGGGTCACAGAATTAGGTGCAGTGATTTGGTTCCTCGGCGATTCCAAAACCCTCCCTGTTTATATTACATGAAGGAAAAAATGGATTCAAACCATAGGAATGTTAAAAAAAAAAAAAAAAAGTCAGAAGTGCCTCTGTGAGTCTGAGTCCGAGAGAGAGTCACATCTGCTTTCCAGCTCCAGAGCACTGGAATTACTCCAGAGGGAAGCAAACTAGGGAAAGAAAAAAAAAAAAAAAAGAAAAAAGAAAAAAGAAAAGAAAAAAGAGAAAAAAAAGAAAAAGAGGGACAGGAAATGAGGATCAGCACATGGCCAGGATTTTGGGGAAATTACATATTTAAGGTGGAACAAGTTAATGTCTTTAAGGTGGATTCCATTTGCAAGCTGCTGGATTTGTTTTTATTTCTGCACGTTGATGTGTGTGTTCAGTCTCTGCTACCCAGCCCAACAGACAAGGCAGCATGATTCAAGTGCAGCCTCTTCCTGCTTCCCCTCCCCTCACTCTCACTGCAGTAGTTGCTCTTTTTAAGGCACTCAGTAACTCAGACATATTGCTGCAGAAGAGGAATAATTTTCTGAGTGGTACCTAACAGCAGTTTAATAAACAGCACAAGAAGTTGGAGACCAGCTACCGAGGCTGCAAAGGACCAGTTTGCTGTGATGGATCACTGCATCAACATTTCCAAAAGTGTTGCCCATGGGAAAAAAAAAACCTGTTTCTAAGAGCAGGTTGATCCTTCAAGACTGCAGCATAGTGCTCCACAGCAGCAGAGAGGCTGATGGTTGACACCCAACACACTTGTCACACACATATAGGGAGCACCTAACCCACCTTTCAACAAGAAGAGGAGTTGCTCAACTCAACTCAAAATGCCTCTTACAAAAAAGCCAAGGGCATGCTGCATTCCCCAGCTACCACAGGGTGGCTGGGGCATCCACTGTCCTTCCAGCAGATCACCATGAAGAAGCCACTTAAACCACTGCAGCAAGTGTCACTGCCCACCAGAATGCACTTCTGCTATAGAGAAATATGTGTGTTTTGGGATGGCCTAAAGGAGTGTGTGAGGAAAAGGGAAAAAAAGAAATTCTGCTTGTTGTAGAACTGATAGTATGGCAAAAGAGGAACGTACAGTAGTAATAAGGCTGCAATTTCAGGAGAATACCAAAATAAAGATGTCTTGCAATGTTTCTCCCCTCAGAAAACCTATGTGCTCTGGATTTCTCTATCTGCAACTTTGAATTCCACTTCTGTGAATGATTAAAGGAGAAAAAATGTGACCTGACCAAACCCAGGCATTTCTGAGTTCCTCCTATCTAGAGTGCCTTCCTGGCTCCACTGCTATCTTTATTAGCCTATTCCCTCTATGGGAGCATTAGATTGAAGAAAGAAAAAAAAAAAAAAAAATCTGTTTTCTAAGTAAGGGACATCAAGAAAAACAACAACATTGCTTCAGTCAGCATTTTTATAGTCCTCATTCACAGGTGATAAATCAAGCAGAATACAAACAAAAGCAAGTTATGGCTTGGGGAGGAAAAGGGGAAAAAATAACCACTATAATTACAGGCTGAATGAAAAAAGATGACTAAATAAGATGTTTTGCACTGCCTAAGAGATAAACCTCTGTTTTTAAGCCACCTGTTGTATCATGTCTTGTTCAAAGAGAAATAGGATGTTACAGCATTGCTGGATTCACACATAGATACAAAACAAGGGGCAGTATCATGAAAGACAAGTAAAACCTAAGTGCTATGTGAACATAGATGGAGAAAGCTCTCATTAAGTACTCATCCTGACACCTTATATCACTGACACATAGCTAACCTACATTCTCCCCATAAGCATTTAAAAACGGGATTCTTAAGTTACAAATCTTCTCTATCACTGCTGTTTCAAATATATAAGGAAGTCTGATACACAATGATAACTTCGCCTGCCCTTGGAAATCAGTCCTTCTACATTAGGAATAAGTAATGTGGACAGGCAGAAATCAGGCAAATTAGCTGAAACCATCAGTAAGTCTGGAAAAGGGCTATAGCCAAACTCATGTCTTATATCCCTCAAAATAGCACTACCTGCCCCAAACAGCTCAAGAGATCACAATCAGCCTTTCAGCATTGCTATAAATAGATTTAAACGTGTTGCAGAATAACTCTTATACTGAAAACACAGTAAAGTTACATACAACAGAAAGCCTTGTTAGGTCTCACAGACCTAATTCAGATATGGGCTTTTAACTTGAAGGAAGAAAAAAAAAATAAAAATCTACAAGTTCAGGAATTTCCCCACTGGAATGGTCCACAGCTTTTGCAAACATTGTAGTGTTACTTTAATCACCATTGTATCATCTTAGCCTTTTCTCTACATTTCTTCAAGAAACATTATGAACAATTTGGTCTTCCTCACCCAGCTACAGAATTATTTAAATGCTAAGATTAAGTGAATGATCAGAAAAGCTCATTGTCACAGGTTCTGCAGCAGTCTGGCTGCATGGCTTCTTTACCTTATGTACCACCATCCTTCCAGGTTCTTTTGGATGACCTCCACGGTGACCCCTTTTTCGAACCCAATCTCATCCTTCCCTTGGCTGGCGTACGGCTGGATAGTGACATATTTCTCTTCTAGTGAGGGGAGAAAAGGCAACATCAGTTAGGGTCAGAATTAGTCCAGCTGTTTTTCTGTTCTGCTTGCTTTTAAACTGTTATGCAGTGATTACGTGGAGCCATTACAAAAGGCGGAGCCCTGCTCAGGGGCCCACTGATTATTTATGCTGACGACATGATAATCAGCCCCTTGCCACTATCCTGCTGCTGATAATCACAAAGTGTTTCCATGCCAATAATGACACAAAGTCCCTAGAGAGCTTCCCCCCCTTCTTCCAGCCCCCCCCCC